GCTCACTGCTGCCAACTAGTGGTCAGAGGATGAACTACAACATAAAAATGAACGGCTGGCAGGAAAGTTGACATTTTAAACCTTAATAAAAAATCGATACAGGACTTTAGAATATCGATACAGTATTGGGAAATGAAATATCGCGATATTTCAGTGTATCGATATTTTCTTACACCCCTAACAGTCACCCATCAAATATATTGTTTTGTCAATTGGAATTATTAAAACTTCATGAGTTGGTTGATTACAGTATTCTACAGCTTATGTTTAAAGCTCATAAAACATGCTACCTTTGAATATACAGTTAAATTTTGTTAAAAGAGAAAGCTCTTATCATTTAAAGGGAAATGAAATATTTGTGAAGCACAGATTTACGGTGTGCGTCGATACAGGCAGTGAAACTGTGCAATGATCTGAGTGATGTTAGAAATGCTGGATCATTGTTTGTGTTTAAAAGAATTATTGAACAAATAGAAATAATAACTAGAGAAATTGCATTTCCTGCGAAAATGCTAGTGTGAATGCCTGTTGCTGAAAACGTAAGCTGAAAGCTGCTGAAGAAGATGAAATTGAGCTGAACATGTTTAATAGCAAAAGTATTATTGWAAGGTAAATTTGAAAAGTTAAAAGAAGCAAAGAAGTTGCAAAAAAATCAGTAAAATTGGGCAAAAATATAGTTGAATTAACATAAAAAAGCTAAAAGCTAAAGGCTAAAATAGCTGAACATAGCATAAAGCAACTGTAAGAAGCATAAACAACTTAAATTAGCAGAAAGAAGAACAAAAAGTAAAAAAAACGGCAGGAGAATAGTAGAAGGATTTTAGCTGAAATGTCTGGAAAATGCAAAAACTAGCAAGAAAGTAGCTAAAATTGTCACAAAGAATTTAAAAGGAGCAAAACCAGAATATAATGTGTAAGGTTCTGTAAAGGTTTAGAAACATTATGAGCAAATATAAGGATGTTGAAAAAAGCTCCATTCATTTCCAATGGGAAAAAAGCAGCCGAAATAACTGTGGCTACAACTGCTGAATTTTCTTGAGGCTTCAATGTGTTACAGAGCATGCTCTCAGCTACCAGTACATCAGTTTTCATGCCAACATCTCAAACGTTGGCTGAGTAAAAGGCCTTTAAAACTAACTTTGGTGGCCATTTTGGATTTTTATTTTGKCTGCTATTTATGTAGAGCTCAGTCTCAGCTAACTATATATTCACTTTTAGCTCAATATGTCAAAAATTGGCCAAAATCAAGTAATTTGAACTAACTTTAGCTAATAATTGCAGCAAATAGCTGAATGATGCAGAAAGCAACTCTAGGAGGCATAAACAGCTCAAATTAGCAGAAAGAATTACAAAAAATAGGAATTACCTACGAAAAACCATTAAGAAGTACAATTTTAGCTAATGTAGCAGCAAAAAGATAAAATTAGCATAAAAATAAGCTAAAGCTAGCAGACTCAAGTTGAAAGTAGCACCCAGATTGTGAAATAGTTGTAAAAAATTCAAAATTAGCAGTAAAAAAAGCATAAAACTACTAAAAAGTGATCATTTGAAGTAAAATAAGTGATACAGCCGAAGTTTTCAGTAAAACAGCTAAAAACTAGCTGAAAATGTTTTAATTAGCATCAGGATGCAAAAGGAGCACAAGTTTGCTGAATTTACCAGAATTAAGTTGAAATAGCTCCACACCAATGTGTAATTCGCTTAGACAGCTAACTTTGGCTAATAACAGCTAAAATTTATCTAAATTTGTAGCAAATAGCTGAATATGGAAGAAAGCAACTATAAGAAGCATAAATAGCACAAATTAGCAGAAAAGCGTATAACAAAGCAGAAAAAAGCACAAGAATAGCAGAAAGACGTAGAATTTTAGCTAATATAGCAGTAAAAAGCTAAATTTAGCATAAAAATAAGCTAAAGGTAGCAGACTCAAGTTGAAAGTAGCATCCAGGTGGTGAAATAGTTGTAAAAAAATTTAAAATTAGCAGACCCCCCCCACCATAAAACTACTAAAAAGTGATCATTTGAAGTAAAATAGGAAAAACAGCCGAAGTTTTCAGTAAAACAGCTAAAAACTAGCTGGAAAAGTTTTAATTAGCATTAGGATGCATAAGGAGCACAAGTTTGCCAAATTTACTAGAATAAAGTTGAAATAGCCCCAAAATATGTGTTATTGGCTTAGAAAGCTAACTTTGGCTAGTAACAGCTAAAATTTATCTAAATTTGTAGAAAATAGCTAAATGTAGCAGAATGCAACTGTAGGAAGCACATATAGTACAAATTAGCAGAAAAAAGCACAAATAAATTAGAAAAAAGCAGAAGAATAACAAAAAGAAGCAGAACTATAGTTGAAATAGCAGAAAACAGCTAAAGTTAGCAAAAAGTCGCTAAAAGTTGCACAAGAGAGTAAAATAGAGCATAACCAGAACAAATTGTGTAAGGTTTTTTAAAGATTTAGAATTTATTTGAAGGATTTTAAGGTTGTTGAAAATAGCCCCATTCAAAGTCAGTGGGAAAAAAGTGGCTAAAAAGTTGAAATAGCTAAAAAAGTATAAATATCTGAAATGCCAAAAGTCATAGCTGGCATTGCACAAAAGAGCTGAACGTTTTGATACATGAGTGGTTGAAGTAGCACAAAAATTGTGGAATGAGAAAGGTGCCAAAAAACGTACGGAAGAAAAAATGATCTGAAAGTTGTGAATGTGCCACACAGGCATTCACACAACAATGTGTATTTATGTAAGTTTTATTTGTTGTTGTTTCTGTTTGTTGTATTTTTCTAACCAGAAGATTATTAATATTTTTTCTTTGTAAAAAGGGGCAGATATAAGATTTTTTTCTTCGTTCTGCTGCCTTTCGTTTTATTTTGTGAAATAAGTTTTGTATTTTCTGTAACGTAAACTTTTTTGTTTTAAATGAAATGAGTGAATGAATTAAAAAATAAAAAGACGTGGGTCAGGACTCGCTGCATGTCTGACAGTCTGTGTCCCGACTCCTCAGGGGTACTTCTCCCGTGGTGGAGCCCCCTTCGTTGGGATGATAGTGAGTCCATATAACCCAGCCAACACATCCCCCTGCTCACAACTTACCTGCTTACTGGTGATGGACGGCCAGGAGGCCTCGAGTCCCAGCAGTACGTCACACACTAACTAAAACCTACTGGCACTGTAGCTCAGCGCTTTGTGTTAGCCGTTACACTTCGGCTGTTTGTGTTCCTCCACAGAACTGCCTTACAGATTCAACTTCCTGACCTCACCAGACATCCCCRACTGGAACCAAACCCTGAGGAGGGCTCAGTGGATCGTTCACAAATATGCTCAGACACTCGGGTAAGACATCCGGTTCATCCAGATGAACTCTGCAGCCGTGCCTGTTTCTGTTTGTGAACACTTTGTTGTTGTTGTTGTTGTTGTTGTTGGACAGGAGTGTGCAGATGGACAGATTGTTTCGGACAGAGTCCAGCCTCACCTGTTTGGAGAAGGTCAGTTACAGTGAGGTGTGAAGGTTTGGTCAGCCTTGTTAATTTTCCTGATTTACCTTTATAAATCATTGATTGTTTGGATTTAAAATATCAGTTAAATATATCATATAGAGGACAAACACAGTGATATTTGAGAAGTGAAATGAAGTTTATATGATTTACAGAAAGTGTGCAATAATTGGTTAAACTAAATTAGGCAGGTGCATAAATTTGGGCACCTTAAAAAAACCTTAACTCAGTATTTAGTAGCTCCTCCTTTCACAGAAATAATATTCTCTAACCCAGTGGTTCCCAAACTTTTTATCTTCTGACCCACAAAATATTCATGGCAAAAACTTGTGACCCCAAATATTACTGGTCTGAGGACACGAACTTTGTTAATATCCCTAAAACACAGGCTTTTTGACAATCTAAACAGTTTGTACACAAATATAAATACTTATTTATGTTTATTTTGTGTTCTTGTAATATTTATAGGAAACATATTACATCAGCAATTATTTTATTGCCCTTTAAATTGATTTCTGGAGATTATCCAAGGTGCTTCATGACCCATAATTGGG